GCAGAGCAAGCTGTGATGACAACAGTTCAGACCACAGTGGTCAGTGTGGTGTGAGAGAGGAGATAAATCCACACACAGCCTGAACAAAACTGTCATCAGCTTGATTCAGATCCCAGATAAGACTTGGACTTTTACTCATGCTGGATGCTCTGTGCGTCTGTTAAGGTACTCACACTGAGAGGCAAAGGAAGAGTAAGATGCTTACAATGAACTTCCCCTCAATGCTACCTTATATAGTTGAGGACTAGCAGCCCTAATGGCGGAAGACAGTGCTGGGCTGGGGGAGTAATGATTTTAGCTTTAAACTGAATTACCAATCGATTCGGCCTGCAGATCAGAACACAGCTTGTGAGCCGACTGTGTGGACATGCTGTGTTGTGGAGTCGCTTTACAAATTGACTGCTGCACACATAGGAGGGAATATATCTATATATGTCAGCTCTGCGCTGCATGCGCAGCAGCCTGCTGGGCGTGAATAGGCCTTGTGATCACCAGAGAGGCAGCTGCAGAGTGTTTATGCTGAATTGGGTTGTAAATGAGCATATACTTGGGGAGGAGGACCTTGTGAATCAGAAGATAACTTTTCCAGAGGCTTCAACAGGGCCCGACCAGGATCGCAGGAAAGGAAACAGAGCTGCTCTTTTGAGTCTCCACTCTCCTTCGCTAAGAGAGCGGCTCTAACCTGGCGGTAGGCCGAGCCTTAAAGGAAATCGCATAAAATAATACATAGCAAATTACTGTGGGTTTCTCAGGATTGGAGGTTGAGATTTAACTGTGGTGTTTTTGCCGTCTTTTATGGAGACCACTGGAGACCATATTAGCACAAGTGTCATGTTCCAGAGAACACATGGTAGGCTGTGATTACTGAGCTCAAGCTGAACTGTAAAATCGCTTGTCAGCAGTTGATATGTTTCTGGAAAAGCCCGGGTGCTTGATTGAATTAGTTTGGTGGCTTTTGGTGGGGAGAAAGAATGTGTCCAATTTGGTTACCTGCTGACAGACAGCACTGGTATTGTGACTTTTTGATTGTGCTGTAACACCAAAGAACAGGCTAGTTTGAAAAGCATTAAAAAATCTCTTTGATTGGTTGATTTTTCTCGTAGTAAATTTATGTCATCATTCATGTTTCCCAGTCGTTCTTTTAATTTAATAACTATTTGATGACCATTGACAAAGCAGTATTCAATGTTCAGATGAAAAAGGAATAAACTAGTGCATGTTTTTCATTTGTATGCATGCAGAGATGGCAGCGGTGCTATCAGACGCTCTTCAGGCATGTATTCTGTGGATCTTGGTTGTCCACAAGTTCATGTTTACTGATAGGATCTGTGTGGTTACTCCATCATACTGGGGGTGAGATGGGGTCATGTTGGTGCAATATTGTGTTCGCCCTGAGGTTGAAATAATTTTGTTTGCTATAATAGCTGTAAAACACCTTATTTCCCACTGGACATTCTTTCATACAAATATTCCTGCACTGGGATTTAAAAAAAGAGGGGGGCGGGGTCAAGCATCAAAATTACATCTGCTTCAGTCAGAAAAATAAAAAATGGGCAGTATGCATTCTGATGTTTGTTGTTTAAATTTTGATTATAAGAATATCTTTCATGTATTATCTTGATTTAGAATGAAAACATAGGAAGTACTATGCATTTACAGAACAACATACAGAAATTCATATTGATCCATTCACTGCAAGGTTGCTTGGTTTTCTGTCTGACTGCGATCATGCAGACAGTGGAGTCTTTTCACATCAGGATCAGGGTCCATGTAAGCTCTTAATTCTCTCCTGTTAAACACTTATTGAAGAAATGTGCTGGTGGTGCAGAAGGAGAAATAAAAACACTGAGTGCCCAGTGTTTGCTCTGCCATGTAGCCATGCCTAGCTCTTAGTGCAACTCATATTACAGAGCACCTTTAACTGTGAATTCACTCTGTTAATAAAAGCCCCCTAAAGCTATTTAAAGCACCCTTTTCAATGGCTTCCCTGTGGTTCCCTTCTAGAAGTACATGACTGATTTTTGGTGTGAAGAAGTGAGATGCTGGTTGCATGAATGCATGTAACGTCACAACTACTGAGCTGTTGCTATAGTGCTTTACAAGACAGTTAAGGACAGTATATTGTGTGTCAGGAGCATTTATCCTGCATAAATCAAGTGATTCCCACTCCTCAGATTCCCCCCACTTTTCATTTTTGTTACATCTCTGTATCCAAAATGCTTCTACACACACACACACACACACACACACACACACACACACACACACACACACACACACACACACACACACACACACACACACAGTTGTTTTGCCCCTCACATAGCTGCTGCAGCTCTTGTCTAGCTCGTCACATCATTTTAATTACAGAGCCTTCATTGTTTGCACTGACCCATTTTAGCGCGGTCCCTTACCGTCAGCTGCGTGGTCCCTCCAATCACACTTAATTTCATCTGGCATTTGACTCAATCGGCAGTGCCGTGAACATGAACGCCGACTGCCTTCACCCCCAAAAAATGACTTGGGAATAACAATAACAATCTCCACTCCCTGCTCTGGTCGTCCACCGAGGCCTCCAGCCCCGGCTGCACCGCAACATGGTACAGCTTTTAATGGAGAAGATTGATACCAGTGGCTAGGGACATTTCTTGGGATGTTAGTCACAGATCTCAGAGGAGATTTGGAACTGCTCTTAAAGGGCCCTGGAAACACAATAAAGCACGACTCACTGAGACAGAGCCCAGGGAGCTTCACACTACTAATTAGTACTTGGACTTAACTTGATTGTGTTTTCTCTAATGCAGCTAATGTGATTCGGATCAGTGTCCGTGCTTACAGTATGTAATTCAACCATACCTCTCAGTGTGGTGTTTGTTTTAATACACATTGCTCGCTGATTTATAAACACTTACATGCTTGTGAAGGTGTCATCCACATTAACCAGTGATGTGTAACATGGCCAGTAATTGAATTGAAAATGTGTGACTATTAATGCCGGCAAGAAGTTTGCACGGAACCTGACACAAAGCTACAGAAACCTTTGTCACTGTTCCCCTCCATGCAAGATGCAGGAGAGTAAACAAGCATCTATATTAGAAGATTACAAATCTGTCTGTATTCCTCTGGGGTTTTCCCAAATGATCAAGGAACTATTTACAATGAAGGGCAATTGTCTGCTCTCTTTAAAATCTTATTCACATCCAGAGAGACACAGGGATAGAAGAAACAGAGACTGCACTGCATGAAGCCCTATCTCCCCCCACAATCAGAACAATGTTCCTAGTGCTTGAATAGAGAGGGATATCTCTGAGACTTCAATTTGTTATCTAAAAGAAGAGGGGGGACGGAGTAACACTTCCGAGATAAGCCCAGCATAAGGTTAATTACCATCCGAGTGGCTGACGTAACCCAGCCATGTCATGTCTCAAAGTTACACACAGCTGGGAAGCGAAGGAGGACCAGCTATTGACAGATGTTTCTCACTTGAGGCCTGTGAGTCTGCGTCTATGTGTCTTTATACGTTCACGTGTGCATTTGTGCAAACATGTAAACCCCAACGCTTGAGTCAGATATAGTTTAGTGGGGCAGCTCCAGGTAAGACGGCACCAGAGGCCTAGACAGCTCAAACCACCTGCTTCAGCAACTGCTAGCAGAGCTTGTGGCTGCCCTTCTCACTGGTGCGTAACACTGTTAACATTGCTGCTGATTCTCCACTCTCTCTCCAGGGCATAGACTAATTAATGGATACCATTCGCAGTTGATTAGCAGCAGCTCTTTCGGTAATTACATTCGCATACTAACCACTCAGAAGAAAAGGAGAAAAGAAAAAAAACACAGAGGGCTAGAAAATATATTAATGCACTTCTCAGTTCGCTCTGATCTTAATTTGTTTCCACCATTGTTTGGCTTCTGCTCAGATAAGAAGCCATTTTTTTCACTCTGTCTATTGGAGTTCCTCATCACTCATAATGTTTTAAGAGAGTGACTTTGTAATAAACACACAAAAGAGATTACTGCAGAGCTTTGTTGGGAATAGGAAGAGTGTTCTCAGTGGAACCTCATGAAGACGCAAACGCGCTGTGATTCTTTCTCCTCTGAGCCGTGTAGGCTGGGTTTTGCACTCCTCACTCACAGAGAGGTGCATTGTGCTCCTGGGCCCAGCTGCTAGCCCATAATTCTTCATTCTATGTCCCATTGTTCCTACCTGTCAGCATGGTTGTGCCTCCAAAGAAAGGAAGTGGCTGCCATTTTGCCAGCAGGCTATGTGTGGGTTGGGGGGGGGGGGGGGGGGGGGGGGGGGGGGGGGGGGGGGGGGAGGGAAGTGGGGGGATGTTGTGAAAACATGTTATTTCCTACTAAAGTATAGGGTTTTAATAGCTTATCAACTGTCTTAAACACTAATGTGTCTTTACAGTTTGGCTCTCACTACTGGCTTTGCTTTACACAGTTATTACTCTCACATCTACTCTAATATTAACAGTTAAATGTTTATTGAACGGACCCAAAAAATGTCTTCAAATCAGATTCTCCATAAGGATAGATAAATGTAAATTAAGCAAAATTAATTGTTAAACACAGCTCCACCCATATTAAAAACACCCTCCACCTCCTTATTTCCCCTCAGTATCACACCTCTCCCATAGGTTATTTGAAGTTAATAACCTGCCACTGCATCTTGATACTTGGCTTTGTGATGCAAACATATACTTAATTGCCATCCCATAAGAGCTGAATAGCCAGACCAGATTCTCATTACCCTGGTTCGAATCAGCCTGGGCCTCTCACACGCCTCTTGTCATGTCACAATAATGGCAGAGTGGCAGAATGCGCCCAAGCACGCAGAGAAAGGGGTTAACCTGTGTGTAAACATCCAGAGCCAAGTGTGACAGTCTGTTTGAGTGACAGGTGTCCATTATGAAAGGGGGGAGGCTCATGTTACAGTGGTTGTTATCTGGACACTAGTGGGCTGATTGTGTGTTTTGTTTTGTTGTCATTTGCAGTTCCAGAATAACAACAACTACATGAACATGGCAGAGGCGAACGGGGCGCTGCTGGCTGCTGGTGATGTGAGTATAGTTTTATTTTTTCCACACAAATATTCCACATTTGAACATGGGGAATTCAGCTAATGCTTTCCAATATAAACTAAGCTACGTACAGTGCTGTAAAAGTTTATTTCTCATTTTGTTACTTGGTAGTACATAAATACATTTTTCATGTGTATAAATGTTATTGCTCTTCTATTAATATTTCTTGGTGATTCACTATTTAAGGAAATGTAGAGAGTACAAAGTACAAACCGATATCATGAAGCAGAATCCCTATGTTTTATACAGTAAAGCCCTCTAAATCATCCGTAATTGAACTCCAACTTGAATTTTTCCATTTTTTCACAGGCAACATTATTTTTATTACCTGAAATGCTGCCTGCTGAAATGCCTGTTGGGAGACCCACACAAAACTCTAAGCTTACAAAAAGATGAGCTATAGGCTCACCCTATATTGTCTCATAGTAACTTCTGAGAGCTGATGCTGATGTAATCTGACTGCCTCAACTGCACTCTCCAAGATAAACTGATATCTGAGGAAGCTGAGGATATAAACACCTGTTTTCTTCCTTTCAAAGACATAATGAAGGAGCCCACTCTATGAGCCACTCTATCTGCTGGCACTTACAAAAAGTGAAATGTCACCAACAATCTTTGGCTGTGGAGCTGCTGTAATAACTCATCACTCACTCACGCATTGTACTGCTGTATTAAAAGTAAGAAGGGAATAGTTGTTCTTCCCAGTTGTACTCTGGGGGTAAATAAGCATCTTTCTGAGCCATAGTAGTCCTAACAGTGTGCTAAATTTACCCGTTTTATTTCCCCTCCACCCACTCCGCTGCCCTGTCATTAGAGACAAGTGCACCAAAAATACCCATCATCCTTTGTGGTTCAAACGGGCCAATCTCATCCAGTTTAGCAGAGGAGATTAATCTGGTTTCAAAACCCACAACAAAGCATCACTGCACAGCTTCGAAATACTGCCATAGATGTCATTGTTAACCTTATTGTTTTCATTCATGCCAGTCGAGCAGTTGGGATGCAACAGTGACATTCAAGCTCAGAAGTGTTTGGAGCGTGTGACCTCATGTTCATAAAGTGGCCGCCTCACAAAGCCACAGGGTGTTACGGAAGAAGTTTAATTTTCCCCCGCATTTGCGCTGAGTGGACGCATCCTCTGTATCCACGGGCTGCTGAGGCCCACTGCAGCGGGGACCACGCCGACACAAGCTGCTTGGAGAGCATTCAGCCCCCAGCTGTGAGGGCCCACTGTGGCAGTCAGGGAAAGGGGGGATGGGCTCGTATGGGGGGTGGGACTCCTTGATAAAAACAGCCCAGCTCATTTGCATTTTATCAAAAGGAACAACTGTTTCCAGTGTTAAAGCACAGATGGTATTGTGCTTAGAGAGAGAGAGAGAGAGAGAGACAGAGAGAGAAGCATAGATTTTTCTTTTCAAGCGATAGAGTGTCCAAAGTATTGTTTGTTGCAACCTGAGCTAAAGTAAAATTAAAGTGACTTCCTCTTTGAGTTGCTAAGTTTCACACTATCACAGTTTTAATGCTATATTAATCTACTTAATGTGTCTGCCTTGGGCTGAGGGCACAATGGAAAAGGAAGTCTTCTTTATGACGACTCCATGATGAAAAGCTAAGTTTGACAGCAAGGTTAAATTTATGCCACCACATTTGTTTGGCTATTGTTTTTCAAATAAAACTAGAGGGTTACTGGATAAATAGATGCAGACTTTATGTATTTTCTGAAGCTACCAACCTATGATGCTTCCTGTTTGCCCTAAATAGTATTGTAACACCCATGTTGTGTTGTGAACAAAGACACCAGACAACAACCATGTTGCCCTTTTTGATCAATCCACCTGTTGTTTTACATGAAAAACTTGCAATGTGAGCATCACCTCCTGAACCTTCCTGGGTTCTGAGATAATGGTGAATGCTAAAACAAAGTGTAACAGTAAAACAAGTAGTTTACAAGTTGTTATACAGCTTTATCTAAGCAGTGTTTATCTAAAGTATGCTAACATTAGCCAACATTACTGGTCACAAGCTACTGGTCGTACCAGGCCAAGTGAGACTGAAACAGTAACATCCCAAGAGTGCTGAATTCACTGAGGCTGTGTTTTACTACCTATCCATTTAATTTTTCATTTGTAAAAGGAAGAATGTGCCATTTCTTTTTTCAAGGGTTACATAGTTTCACTTTAATATACAGTACAGTTTGCTGTCCTTATACTTTATACCTTAAAACTAAATATAAACAAAATATAAAACCGTTTTCATCTGGATACTATTTTCCTCATAACACATACTGTATATTGAAAAGTTGTTTGTGCTGGAGGCAGAATGCTTCTACATCAGAACAGCAGACGTGTATTTGCTGTTTTGATGGCCAGTGTATCATTTACCTTATGCACTTAGAGGATGAGATAAGATGACCTTGGTGTGCCCGGTAAAGCATACATCCTAGCAGGGAAAGCTTGACTGCTTCCCTCAGGGAAAAGGATACTGTACACTGAGATTGTGTTCCACTCAGATGTATCACTTTACTTTCTCAATCAAATTAGAGACGTGTAATGAACTATAAATATGTAGAAATGGACTACAAATGATCCAAATTTGAAATAATGTTGATTAGGGGTGCCATGGTTGATGTTGTCATTTGAGTAGCTGCACTCTGCCTGTCTAGATATTTGAAACTGGATCCTCAATCCTGCCTCTATTGATTCTGAGGCCTATTCTATGCAGTAATTGCATACTGCTGCCTTTAACAAGTCTTGGTTATTGCATCTGTGAATTGCATTACTACGTTTATTGAAGGACTGGGAGTATTGCCTGAAAAGCTTTTTCTTGCTCTTTGTCCTGATATTGAAAGAGTATCATGGCAGCAAAGGGATAAAACGTCTGAAGGGAAAAGTCATTGATACACATTCCCTAGTCATCTCCCTGTGTGTTTTTATTGTTATGAACATTGGTGTAAGGTTCTATTTATTATATATAGAGTCAAAACAATATACATATACTCTATATAAACCAACTCATACTGTTTACCACAAGACATTGTAAAGACTTTTTGTTTGTAAAGTTCTGTTATGGATCATTTTTATCCATGCTAGCAGCATTCAGGGAGGGGTATGTCTTGTATTCGTTCAATTTCTCCACCATTTTGCTTCAGACTAGAGGTGTAACAAATCTCCAAATCCATGGCTTGGTTCAGATTGATTGACTGTGCCCGGGGCATCTGCAATCTCAGGGTTATGATAAATCTAGAGCTAATTAGTCTAGCCTAACTTTTACTGCAGGCATGATCATTCAGTCATGATTGGTCTTTGGTTTTTGAAGACAACAAACTAAGTGTAATGTGCAATATTTACAAAATATACCGCTTTATAGACCCTGCCCAAATTTTAAATACAATAATAAGTAATTTCATTATTTACATGTGTTATAGTTGTGAAATGAAAAATGAGTTTTGATTCATTAGTAATGTATTGAGGGCTCAATAGGCTGCACCTGCCTTGATGGCAGTGGGTTTGGGGGTGGGGGGGTGGCAATTTCACCTTACAGTGTTGCGACACAAGATCGTGCACATTTATATCATGGTTTCGGTCTCGGTTACAGAATCGACACAGCGATAGTCCAGACTGAAATATTTCAACAACTGTTAGATGGCTTCACCTGAACTTTGGCACAGATATTCATGGTGCCCAGAGGATGAATACTAATGATGCTCCCCTGACTTTTCCTCTATTGCCACCATGAGATTCACATTTATGGTTTTGAGTGAAATGTCTCTACAATAATGATATTAAATTTGATGTGCACATTCATTACCCCCCGAGGACGGATTAAAATAATTTTTGGTGACTTTTCATCAACAGGGACATCAGGGCAAATTTTTAATTTGTCCAATATTTTGGTTTATCACCATATATCTGCAAAACTAATGACATTCCCATCAGCCTCAGCTGTACTGTAGCTGTGCTAACTGAACGTTCCAGAAAGTTAAGATGGTGAACATGCTTATTGTTTTTTGTTTTACCTACTACATTATAGGCAGTTTTTAATTCAACTGACAACTTACAGTATGAGAATATTTTTTTAAATAACCTCATACTTAAATTTGGCTGGGCAGAATGGGGATTGTTGAGAATAATTTGCAGTACAGTACTGTGTATTCCAGGTTTACCACCTCCAATAAGCCCTGAGGCCTGGAGATTTCCCACACACCTGCTCATGATGCTCATGCTGGGTACATCAGGCTTCTCTCTTACAAGCATACACACTTACTCTTTCTCTCTTTCTCTCTGTTGTTCCCTCCCTTGCCCACCCCTTAACATGTACATGCCTGCACATCCCAAGCCAGCATCTGGCCTGGCACTTGGCTCTGCTGAGCCTTTCAGAACAATTTAAATGGATAATCAGGCTGGTGATGCGAAGAAAGTGGATTGTGCATCTCTTAATCTCCGATCAGAGCCCCCTAAGCTGCTCCTGGTGCAGAATTAGACTGGCTTTATGTGAAATGACACCAGACAGTGTGCAACACTGTAACACTCTGTGGGTTCCAGTAAAATCTGGCACCCCTTCCCTGGGGAGAGGGCCTTTTTCTTCACAGACAGCTGACATCTTCCATACACCCCCCCTTCCCAAATGAGACACAAACGCCATGTCTCCGTTATCAGTGCCCTGGTGCAGATGTTAATTTTTATCATCATTAATAAAGAGAGGTGATGCACACAAGTACAATCTTGCACCTCAACTGTAATATTTGTCTTTCTCTGTCCTCCACTTCGATGCTGTTTTGGGACACTAAACACTAGCATTCCTCTCCTCCAAGTACATGTCTGTGTCTCACTTAAAGGTCACAGTCATGCTTGTGCTTCTCTCCTACAACAGTGGAACTCACCTCAGTCAACCTTCTTCTTTGATGTTTTTCTCAAAACTTTATGTTGGCTCTGTAATTCAGGCCACGGTGGACCAGCCTATAGGATCCACTGGCCTATATAGTTTTGCCCTGATTTACCTTACACAGTGTAACACCACAGGAAACCTACTTACATCAGCAAATAGTATCCATAGTGAGTATTTTTCTCCTCAAAAGCATCCCTGCATGGGCTTGTACGGATAAATGTGGTACCACAGCCTTTGTATCTGACTGCACTGGACAAGGGGAGACCAAAACAGGTCTGATACGTTTCTGTTAGAGAGGTTATAATGGTGTGCCAGTGTTTTCAGATTGCTACATGATATGATACAGATGAGGATGGGATCATAGATCTCAGGGCTGGTGTGGAGATTGACCCTGCTCCGCAGGAGAAGTTGAAAAAGATGAATGAAGACAGAGATGATGGACGATTTCTCATCCCCTCCACGTGCTACTGGAATTGTCATGCCATGACTCATGACAGCTTTGTTTTATTAACTTTATAAACACGATGTGTTTTTTATTCACATGCTGCTGAACAGGCATTATTGTGAACTAAGTTCCAGAGGTTTTTGAGTAGTTGAAGCATAATATGACAGCAGAGGACTCAGAGAAATTGGTTCCTACTGAAGGTGCGTGTGATTTATTCTGAACCCTGCAAACCAGAGGCCAGGGGTGATGAATATGACCTTAGCTCCTTCTGAAAGGAGAACTGATTCTCTAGCTGTGAAACAAGCACTGAAAAGTGAAACAGTGGTGGGGAGCAGGAAGAGAGGAAGAAAAGGGGGAATGAAAACTCTATTAGCTGCCTCTGCCACAGGAATTCATCAGTGCTTGTCAAGACAGCTGTCCTGACTAGGCAATGAATTAGTTTCAAGTGTCTGTGTGCTAAAGCAAGCAAGGGGAACATTAATACTCCCTAATCAAGGGCTGTGTTGGCATATTCCCTCCGTTGTCTCCCTTCTGTTATTCCATCCCCTACCGGAGACAGAGAGACAGAGCTGACAAAGACAGGAGAGACAGGCCTGGTTAGCTCTGATGCAGAGTGCAGTTTCCTTTGAGATTAGTAGAACTTCACTTCTGTTATGGTAGGTGTTGGATTCCTATGAGACAAGCCAGGCTATAATGATGCCACATTACATGTGCCGTAATGCTGTCAAATTTTGTTAAGAGTGAGAAACTGCTGATGAGATCACCAGAAGCACGTTTTTTTTAAAAGAGACACAAGGACAAGGACGTAGTGTTAGAGGTCAACCTGAAGCACTATTTGTTTCATTTTCAGCAGGATTTCCAACAGCGCTGGGAGTTTAATATGATTTTAGCACTATACCACAATGTTTTCAAACAGTACGCTGAGACATGCTAGCAGTTAAACCCATATCACTTCTAGTGAGAGACCCATGCTTTGAAGAGTAACTTAAACAGCAGCAGCAGCAGCCGAGCCCAGCGCCCCAGATAGCACACTGTTTGGCCCTGTGTTCAGCTGCATTTATGTGGACCTGCAGTGTGGTCATTGTGAGGATATGAATATACTGGCTTTCCAGAGTCTAGCTTAATGCAATGTACAGATGACAACAAGACCCAAGTTAGGTGAACAGTCCCATCTCCAAGAAGGCACATAAGCAAATTAAGTGTGACCAAAAGCTTTAATTCGAAAGGCAGAAGGATTAGGCTGTTTGATGAGCAGATTTAAGGGTGCAGGCAAGGGGAACAAAAAGAAACACTTCTGGCCAAGCGTAATAATCTTTGAAAATGTTCTTTAAACCCATCTCCCTGTGACGTGTATTTTCACTGCACTTCAACCCAACATCTTCCATCCCCAAGATTAAGGGCTTTTATCATGTATCCTCTCTCTCCCGTGATTGCTGCTTGATATTTTTGCTTTTGACGTCTTCTTCCGTTTTTGCCTTTTTTCCTTCTTTTTACTCAAAGTGGACTTTAATAGGTTTAGGAAATGTTACATCTTAGTGCACTTCCAGACAAGTGTATTACCACTCCACTAAAACACTCCCTCTCTTAAACAAAGTTGTCTGATTTAATCCCTGAGGGTGTGCTTCCGGCGTGTTGGATAAGGCCCACCTCAGTGAATGTGTTGTGTGTATGGTTTTGATGACTTTTCCTTTTCCGTCTGTCTTTTCAGACTTTTCATACGCCCAGCTTGGGTGACGAGGAGTTTGAGATTCCTCCCATTACACCTCCACCTGAGACGGAGTCTGGTCTGGGTCTATCGGAAGTGGACTCACATTTCCAAGCCATGTCAGAGCCCCCAGGTCCGCACAGGGGTCCATTAATCCCTCAGTTCCCCCCTCAGAGCCTGGATCTGCCCTCTATTACCATCTCACGCAACATGATGGACCAGGAAGGGATGTCTGTCAACAACGGCCAACCTGTGGTGAGCACTGCTATGCATTTATAACACCAGTAAATCAAGGAGTCTATTTATTTTCTGCGACTAGAGAAATGTTATCCTCATTTGTCAACACACAAAAATCCTGCACTAGCACTGCTCCAGCAGCTGTTCTACTTGTAGCTGCAGCTCCAGATGTGATAACCAAACTAAAAGATATGATTTATAAGTATGTACTACTAGAGACCCCTGATATCAGAGGCGTACAGTCCTTAAATGAGCCCTTTTACTGAACCACGATGTCACCTTCACAGTTTTTGTACGCCTCCTGTTGTCAGTGCATCTGGCACAGCATCTGGCCTTGTTTACAACACAGGAGGTATATGATCACATTGAGTAAATGTCATGATATTATGTTACTTACTGTGAGGATTTTTTTTTTTGAAAAGCACACAGTGCACTGGATGATCCCCCTCTGTAAGGTGAGCAGATGTGAATAGATCACAGGTGTTAGAATACAAAGCGCATTCAGCCCCAGAAGGACAGTGAAAATGGGACCCAAAAGTGCCAGTTTCACATGCTCATATTTAATTCATGTTGCCTCCCGAAGCCTTTTTTTCTGCTGTAAATGCTGATGCATGGTTCTGTCCATTGTCTCATGAGGTCTTCGAAATAGACACATGCTTTGTGTGGAGTTTAGGATCAGCTTTGTGTTGTAGAGAATTACCCTCCTAGTGAGGTCTTGACAAACATGTTTTTAGCTTAATCCTCCTTTCCACCGACACAGATGGCCAAACACGGAACAGTAGACGAAGTAATCACTGTCTTTATGTTGATACTGTTATGTGCTATAGATTGTGAGATTGTTGTCTCGGGGATGGGGGGGGATGGGGGGGGGGCATTTTCAAATGCCACAATCATAGAAGCATTGAGGAGGAAAAATGGAAATGTCACTGGCTGACTAGTTGTCTTACAGACCTGTTACAGAAATGGAAGATTCATTTAGGAAAAAAAGAAATGAAAGGACAAAGGCATGAGCAGAGAGATGATGATATTGATGCTGAATGTGCTTTGTGAAGCACAAAGCACAGAAAGAGGTGCCATGATCATTATAACTGTGTGAATAAATGAAATGTGTTTTAGACCCCCTGCTTCTCCCCCTTCTCTGTAACACATTTGTTGAATCACACTGATATTAGAGATATTTATTTACATTCCATATGGGAAGGGGCTATAAAATTTTACAGCTCCTTTTCCTGCTTCCATGCTTCTGGCATGTAAAATAATTGCAGCTTTTAAAATATCTCTGCCGCATACAGTAAGTGAGCCCCAGAAGGCTTTTGCCTAAAGAATTTTCATTTCATGGTCAGTTAAGCTTTCTACATCTGGAAGAAACAGAACCTTGACACAATTACATTCCTGACTGTTCTCACGACTTGCTGGAGGATTAGATTTGATTCTCAAACATTATTCCTCTTTAACACCATTTGCATGGCTCATGTCTCTGATTGTGCAGAGACTCTATTAAAAACTGAGGGGAGAATATGGGTTTCTGCTCTTTGCCTCGTGGCATTGTCGTCGGCACACCACTCTCTCGTTATCAGTCATCGCACATTGTACCGCAGGAAGGCTTGTGGTGGCCCTTCATTTTTTCTGTAAATGGGATTGATCCCCAAAAGTCTTGTGACAATGCCTATAGAAATTCTATTCATCTATGGTTTTATCTGCGTCTTGAAAAGAGAACGCAACTTTTAAATGAGATAAGTAACAGCGCTGTTTGCAGTGCCTTCTATATACAGAGACAATGATTTACGGAGGCCCTGAGAGGGGTGTTTTGTCATTTTGTCAGCACACTGATAAAGGGATGACAACCTTATATACATGATTACATTCTGTGTTATTTGTTATGGCTGCGGGGGCAAACAAATAAACCGTGCACTATTGCAATTACATTTTTCATCAAGCCACCATGCTCATATTTCCCAAACACTTGTCTTGGTTTTCTTTCTCTGTAGTAGCTTACTGGTGGAGAATATTTAGTGTGTGTGAAAGCCTGTCTCTTATCAGAACTTAATGAGAAACCCAACCAGTGAATATACCTGGGCTCTTTTCAAAAGCTTCTTCCATGTCATTGCATTGCCAAGTGTTCTGCTAATTCCTGTCCCCATAACGTTCAGCGTATGTCTTGCAAATTGGCCACAGATGCCGAGCTTCTACAAAGAGAAATACATTTTCTCAGCTGCCTGGCAAGCCCTGAATCCGAAGTCATTATTTATTTAATCTGCTCTCCTAACAAGCTTCTGACTCTCATTTTTGTCTCCCAGCATGTGTCCTCCTGATCTGTGATTGAGTCTCAATAGTGCCAAATAGTACTGGAGTTAGAGCTGCCAGTATTGCTTTATTCACAATTTCTTCTCGATTTTCTCCCTCCTGCACAGCAAGGGTCTCTGGGTTCTATTTCAAAAAACACCTGGTGCCTTCGCCACATTTTAGGTTTTTCTCAACACACGTAAGCATGTACTGAAATGGGCTCTGTGTCCTCCATGATTGGATTCGAAACCTACAGTAGTCAACTAGTTGTATTACATGTTAAAATCAATATTTAGGAGATATGAGGGCTGCTGTCTTAATACGTTTATCACCATGTGGTGATGCATTTATATATTTTTCATTACAAACTGGCTGCTTCACATGTCATTAGCTTTACAGCTTCAGAGATATGCTAATATCTAACACAAAATGGTGTTTGGACCACATGCATCATGCAAGATGAAAGTGAGGCTGAAAAAGCCATTTGCAGTTTGTTGTTCACATGATTTGATATGCCTTGATATTGTGGAGATTGCCAGTGAGTATAATACCCTCGGTTTTGACTGGTCAAAAACCACTATATCCTGAATCAAATGGAAAATGTGAGCACTGTTGCAGAAAGCATGTTTTTCTACACTTCCCTCTTATCTCCCTTCCAAGCCAAGAAGCACTGACATGAGTTGTACATCAATTTAAGAGAGTGGATTTTTTTTTTCGCTTCGTTTCTTTTTTCTTTTCTACCTCGACAGACAGCTATTGTGACATATTGGGTCAGTCAGAAATGAAAGATATTCATGCAGGCATGCAATACTTGTAATGAAGTCTCAGCTTGACCTTCTGCATGATTGATTCTGTAATTTACTTTTCTCAGGCAGCTCTCAAAATGAAATGATGTCATGTTGGACAAGTTTTAAATACCCATAATGCATCAGGAGAAATGGTGGACAGGGTATGGGTCAGCGGTTGTACTGGACCAAGGGGAGGGAACCTCCTGGCCTCACAGTCTGAGGGTGTGTGGGTAGGGGAGAGCGGGGGGGGGGGGGGGGGGGGGGGGGGGGGGGGTTGTTTTTAAGTGGGGGTTATAGGTTGGGGAGTTTGCACACCACAGAGAGAGAAAGGGAGAGAAGTGTGTTTGACTGAGACAGGGCAGGGGAAAGAAAAACTATTTATCTTCATGCTATTATAGCCTTTACCGGCATTCAGAATTCCATTTTTCTCATTTGGCTTAAGCACAGACTTCAGCAGGTTGCAGAAAATGGAGGAAAAAAAATAAAATGATGTACCCGTTTAGAAGCCGAGTAAAGGAATATGTGCAGAGCGCTGATAAACTATCTTTAATAGGACTGACCTTTCATGCTGGCGAAAGTTACTGGGGGATTCATCCTTATAATTACCATATAGATGATTTTACCCCTCTCCTGCCATGGAACATTTCCAAGAGCTCTAGCATTGATTGAATGGAAATTGAACTTGTTAACATTCTTTTCAGCCTGTTACAGCTTAGTACATAGTGCCACTGTTCATAAATTCTCCCCAAATTCTGATTTCCAATATCTTAAAGAACAGACTGGAACTTGCTTTCATTGACATCAGTGTTGAGATTTTTATCACTCGGTCGATGCATAATGTTGCATTCTGAGTCCAGCTGTTGTGTTTATTGGCCTGCGTTTATTGTGGAAAAGGTTCCACACGTTGTCAGTTGCATTTTTTTTTTTTCATCTTTTCTGAATGCTTTATGTGTCTGTGTGTGGACTGTTCGCTGTGTTAAGAGTGGATGAAGCCAACAGTAATGTACAAAACAAGCTATTTTTTTTCTTCTTTTGCAGCATATTGTTAACAGCATTATGTGGATTCCAGCTATTTCAGCTTTGACATTAAAAGCAGCACAATGGGGAATATTGCAAACTGAATCTACAAAATAAACTTTTATTGATCACAGAGTAGATTTCTGCTTGTTAGTGTTTGACGTACAAACACACAGACAGACAACACACCTAGACGCACACACGATCCTGACAGAGGAGGGCACATCTGGCCACTGTGTACTCAAGATAAGGACTTATTTGCAGATTTACGATGACTATCAAAATATCTGGTTAGATGTCTGCTGTGACTGCTGACAATACTGCAATCAAAATGCAAATGAGAAGGCAGAGGGACATAAATAAACAACCTAGTATCAGATTCATATTCACAATCAAGGCAGCTGTTACTTAAGATGATTTCTTTCACTCGTGTGTTATTAGCTGGTATCTTTTCATTCAAATCAGACGTGCTAATGCTGGCATTTCACTGACGTAACTGTCTTCGCGCTTCGGTAACATGAAAACTATTCCATTTGCTGCTGTAATATATGGTGAAATAAGACATTTAGCAGGCTGTTGAATGTGACATGATTAAGTGATGACCAATAACTGTGGTCATCAGTACAGCTTTTTTTTCTTTTTTCTTTTTTTTTTTTTTTTCTTTAATGCACAACATCCAAGGGGCATTTAGAAGAAATCACCATATTCCAAATAAGTGGCAGAATGGGCCATTGCTCTAAGTCAAAACTGCATCATTGGGATTGGGCAAAAGTGTTATTATACAGATGGCCACGACTAATGAGCTCAGTGTGCGCATCTTTGATGTTCACAGCGAGCAGAAAGCAAACTGCGAGCCATCGTGTTCTCAGTAATGAAGATGACAATAGCAATTGGAACATGGCGGGTTGCAGTTATGTGTCATTTGGTCACAGGCTTGTTTATTGCAGCTTTTATATGTGAGAAAAGTGAAAGCTTCCATATTTGAAGAATCACAACAATATGTCTTCAATTTCTTCCCCACCTTTGTCTCACCTTTCGCAGAATCTTCCTCGCGCATGTAAATATAAATCTGCTCTCACTTCATAGATTGTATTTATGATAAGCAGTAGACATGGCATATGAGAAAGAAATGGATTGTAGATCCAATATGTTTCTGTCTGAAATGGCGTTACAATATTGTTTTTGAAGACGGGTATTCATAAGGTTCTTTCAATAAAGCCAGGTGCGTGGGTTTATGATGTGTTGATGTTGGGAGAGATTGAGTTTGTGCTGCTGAATACCAGATGGATGTACCCAGGGAGAACAAATCACCTTTTCTGTTGTGTTCACGTCCCCTCCTCTGTTCCATGTCAGCTCTGCTGGCTCTCTGATCAGTCTTCCCTCTGGGGAGCTGGCAGGCCTCGTAATTTCATCCCCACCACAATCAATGCAAACATGTTGCCTACACCTTCTCCAAGACTCTTTCAAGAACTGAATGTTTCACCAGGAGAAAAGTGTAAGAGATTTTGAAAATGTTATTACATTATACCCTCGATAGTAACCTCGATGGTAGGAGGGAGGGGACCTGTCCAAAGCTCTTAAGCTTCATACCTTCAGCTGGTTGATTTATGGATTTGATTATATAGAAGTATTTTTTCCACTCTTTGCCAGTCAAACATGGTGCCTCTTTCACAGAGTTATAACTCTAAAGTTACATTACACTAAAGCATATAGGCTTGTGGCCACCTCAAACTAAACCGACATGTAGGTGCATGCATACAAACTGTGACTCTAACAATCTTTTTATTGTGGCATTTGAAGTTATGTACCGAGTGCGGGGGAAGTGAGTCCACTTTCCCCTCCAGGGACCAGCCAGTCAAAAGCTGTGTCACAGATTTCCATACAATAGAGTTTTGAAATAAATCAACTGAGCTGTGTAGCCATCTATTACTGGCTTATAAAGTTGGCTCCTCGGGAGCCAAGATAATTTATCATGGCCTGTAATAGAGACATTTAAGACCCAGGACATTGTGACATGTGATCTGACACATAACAATCCAAAGAATCCAATGACCCGATTTCCTCTCTGGTAAAGGGATACAGCTTCGTGATCTTCGAACAGTGAGCAGCAGGGTGCTGTAGTGAGAACAGAGATATCTTTGTGCAGCAGTGTGACAGCAGAGGAACATGGGTCAGTAAAATATTCCTTTGAATATTTAAAGATTGCTTTCTCATCAACGCCTCTCTTTGCTTTTGTATGACAGAATGTGGGGCCGGGCCACCTCCGCCAGTACCCACCCAACCCAGCCATGGTGATGAAGTCCATCATCAGCATGAACAGCTCCAACGGGATGATATCACGGAATCAGCTGACCACCATCAACCAATCCCAACTCAACGCACAGTTGAGCCTAAACATGGCAGGACCCAACATCACCCACACTTCCCCATCTCCGCCTGCCAGCAAGTCCGCCACACCATCCCCCTCCAGCTCTATAAATGAAGACGACCAGGATGACGGCAACAGGGTGAGGATGATGGGAATGAGTTAGTTGTATGGTGATTGTTGAGAATTGACCTGCTGATGTAAAAGAGTTTTTTGTACATTTTCTCATCTTGCGCATTTCTATCATTGCAGGTGATTGGAGAGAAGCGACCAGCCCCCATAGATCCCACAAAGAAGCCCAAGACTCCTAAGAAGAAGAAGAAGAAGGATCCCAATGAGCCTCAGAAGCCAGTGTCAGCTTATGCCCTGTTCTTCAGAGACACCCAGGCCGCCATCAAGGGTCAGAATCCCAACGCTACCTTTGGAGAAGTGTCCAAGATTGTGGCCTCCATGTGGGATGGTCTGGGAGAGGAGCAGAAGCAGGTACGACAACCATTCAAATAGATCATGTGGCACTGTTAACATTTCAGGTGGAAAACAAATATGTATTTACATATATGTGGAGTATATATGGTGTTTATTGTTAATATTTTTGTTAATTAAAAAGAACCTTTACTTGTCCATTCATGCATACCTTTGTGTCATGACAGGTTTACAAAAGCAAAACAGAAGCTGCCAAGAAAGAATATTTAAAAGCCCTTGCTGCATACCGTGCTAGCCTGGTTTCCAAGGTGAGAAACCGTTTCTTCTTTCACCTGAAAAAAGTGTGAATTTGACAGTATCGTGAATTAAATTTCTCAGAATTCTTTGTAATATACTATGCACTGTGAATTTGTAGAAAGCTCTTTTGTAATGACAGAAAGAACTGAAGCAATTTGAGGTGTAGAAGATGTACAATATACTAAAGCCGTGGCTTTGTAGATAACTTCTGATATTTTTTCTCCATCCAGGCTGCAGCAGAATCAGCTGAGGCCCAGACTATCCGCTCAGTGCAGCAGACCCTGGCCTCAACCAGCCTCTCCCCAGGCCTGGTGCTGCCTTCACCCCTCAACCAGCACCCCTCCATGTCCTCAGCATCCCAGGCCCTCCAACAAGCCCTACCACGGGCCATTGCCCCGAAACCTCTTCAGATGAGACTAGGGGGCAGTCAGATTGTGACCTCCGTCACAGTTTCCCATCAGAACATGTCCTCCGGGATGCCCCCGCAGCTGCTTGGCCAGATGGGTGCCGGTGGAGCCATGGTGGCAGGTGCCCAATCCACAGCGGTGTCTCAGATGAGCCCACCCATGCAACCGGTGCAGCAGCACGCAATGCAGCAGCTCCAGCAGCAGCAACAGCAGCAGCAGATGCAGCAGCACCTCCAGCACCATCAGATGCAGCAGCAGCAGATGCATCACCAGCAGATCCAGCAACAGATGCAGCATCAGCATTTCCAACATCACCTCCAGCAACAGCTGCAGCAGCACCACATGCAGCAGCAGCAGCAGCAGCAGCAGCAGCAGCAGCAGCAACAGCAGCAGCAGCAACAGCAGCAGCAGCAACAGCACATGCAGATGCAGCACATGCAGTTGCAGCATCAGCTGCATCAGCAGCAGATTCAACATCTCCAGCAGCAACAACAGCAGCAGCAGCACCAGTCCCAGTGTTCCCCACCCCAGCACTCTCCTGGTACACCCCATTCAGTGGGAGGCTCTGCATCACTCGGCAGCCCCCAGCCAGCCCCACAGCAGCAACCACACCCCTCCCAAATCCAGGCCCACGCCCAGGTCCTGTCCCAGGTCAGCATTTACTGAGCCAAATGGAAATCCTATCTCAAAGAACGGGAATAAAATAAAAGCATCATTCCACGTTGCTTTTCTAAGTTGCACTTAAGAAGTGTGTAAGATTTAGAATGTTATACAAAGAACTTGTCCATTGTTATAGACGGATATGCACACACGTGTACAGGAGGTAAACATGTTAGCTGGGCTTTTGTCGATAAAATAGGCTGAGCTATGACAGAAGCCTGTTAGGGCGAGCGCCCAGTGATTGTTTATTTGTTTGTTTGTGAGGTCTTTCAGTTGTCAATTTAAACTGACTGGGCACACAATATGTTGAAAGACATGTGTCTTTCACTGTTTTATTTAACAATAAAGCTTTATTTATGAGGCCAGAGTTGTCAGTTCACCCCAGCGAAAGGACATTTTAAATGCGTTTTAACAAAAGGATTTTTATCAGCTCTTGGCTGGACTGAATGACTCACAGGGTCCTTGCTGGAAACCAGTAACCCACACATCAGTCTTTGTTCCCACACTGGACAGTATATAACAAGACTTTCTTAAGTCCAACCTTTCTCTTTCACCAATCATTCTCGCAGATGTAACTGTTCAACAGTGGCATGGAGGAAATTATTGATCAAATCATCACACATTGGAGGCCCAGTGATATTTGACCACATTTAAACCATGTTACAAATGCAGAATAAGGGGAACTGAAAATACAAGGTCTTGGGATGCAGATCTCTGAATGAATGACTGAACAGACTGAGACAGAGACTGCCATAAATCATTTATGTCATCACATCATCAAACTGTAGCTGTAATCTGCTGTACAGGTTTTGTAGAGTGGGGAGAGATGAGACCTCCTTTATCCAGTAATCTACCCACCAGGTGATTTGCCCAAAAGCGTGTAACTGGCACCCCCAACCCCCTCCAAAAAAATTCCTCTTTAATCTATTTGTTTTTACTTCAGATGTTTAACAATTAAATTATGTTTTTATCTTGTGTAACAAAGGGGATATTTTATGGTAAATACAAATTTCCGGATCAAGGAAGATGGTTTGGGGATTGATGTATTTTTACTCTGCTCCTTGATACCGTCATTGTTTTAAAAAAGGAAAAAAAAGAAAACTAGCAGAGCCAGTTTGTTGCACTGCCAAAGCCAACTGAAAAGGCATCGGAGGTATTTTTGCCAGCTGTATAGAAGTCCCTGAAAAAAAGAAAATGTTGTACATTTTTCATATCACCTGTTGTAAAGTTTTAATATGTGAGGCTTTAATTAAAACATTGTTAAACGACCTGTGGATTGCTATATCACATAGTGCATTTCTGCTCTTTTATACTTTTTTATGAGTTACAATAGCAGCGATTAATTTTGTTTGTATTTTGCTTACAAACCAACTGCTTCTGAAAACTGTCTATAGAATAAATGCATATCGGTATGGAGTTCTAGAAAAGTTGTTTTCAGCTCACAACAGGAGAAGTAATTTAATGTTTGAGTTTTTGCTGGGCCATGAAGTCGAATCCAGAGACATTCCATCACTAATATGATAGTAGCCATAATTTTGTATGAAGTATTATATATTTCTTTGTGTCTCTGTTCAAAATTAAACTATCAATCACAAATATTTATTTGGAGGAATCGGTTTATTTCAAAAGTTATATTAGCCATAATTTCTATGAGGTATTTCTTCACATCACCTTGTTAGCTATTGAAAATAAATACACTGACAAATAAGCATTCGGCTCTGTACGAGCTGTACAAAATAAATTTGTATGTTTTCTATGGAGTAATTCTACAAGAGAAAAAAAAATACTTTGCAGGGATATATGAGCATTCATGTTGCCATTATTATAGTGTGTGCTGTTTCTCAGTGATTTGAATGGAAGTCCATTGTAACTGTGTGTAAAAACAGTGTTGATACTGGACAAGGTCAGCATGTAACTGGTACTTGTCTCAATAACAGTCCCCCTTTTCACACACCAGTGCATTGGATTCTGCCTCTTTCTTACTCCCTTCAAAATCGCTTCATTTCCAAGACATCCCCAGGGGTTTGCTGAGCTCCCTTGAATAATATGGTGAGCGGGGGAGGGAAGGCAGGCAAACAATAATTATCATATCTTCACAATAGGCTGTGAATCCACTGGCCCAGAGAAGGGCCTTCTTTTTTTCCACAGGCAGCTGAGACATTTTATACATGGGTTAATGTTAGTTACAAATTAGGAGCGGGAATCTGCTGCTGCGCTTCTGTGATAGCAGCTTGATAGAATTTTTAAATTTTGGTTTGTTTTCAATTAGTTAGTTTTAGAAAAGCATTTGTAATTTGGGCCGAGGCCTGTCGCTGCTACTGCGGTGATTGGCTCTTCAGCTCGGTATGGAAACGATGCCCATTTCTCTGCCTTGATTAATTGTAGCATCTGTCCTGTCAGAAGCCCGAGTGAAGAGGTCTGCAGGAAAACTGCAAATAAGTGCTGGCAACAGTCTTAAAGTGCTTATGATGAAATGAAAATTAAAAACAGCAAGTGCTGCGCATGACCTGAATCTCAATACAAGGGGAGAAGAGGAGAATGTGAGAGCGGGTGTCCATGGATACCAAACACATGCTTTAAAAACACACAGTAATGAGGCTCTGGGAAATCGCTGTTATTATTCTGAACAGATTCACAGCAGAGCCCATTAATAATGCATGGAGCTCCTTGTTATTCCATAACCCCTCAGTACTGCGGTCACTGTGTGTACAAATATCTCACAGCCAGGGTTGGAGTTATGGGACTCTGCAATAAAAAGGTTACAGATATTTTCAAAACATTGCTGTACACACACACACACATAATTTACAAGGATAATACACTGCTCCCTCTATAATGGGGATTGGTTTAATTTGAATAGGTGAATAAATAAATTTCACCTGCTTTATGCAGCAGACTTTGTTGTATCTGCAAGATTTTTTTTTTTTTCACAGCGATGTGATCATAGACGCATGAAGCAATCAATATCACCCATGCTCTTCTTTCTTTCTGTCCTCATCATTAACTAACGCTGATGAAATGCATGAAGGGCGCTATGACATTAATATGTCATTTGAGTAATGCAATCATGAGGTGACCTAATTGTCCTCCACCGAGGTCAGTTGCTCGGCACTGTGCCAAGGATGACTAAGGAGTCAGATGTGGAAGCTAGGGGATTCTGTATTTTAATGATTTATTTGGCTCTTTTGTTGTTTTCCCGTCCAGTGCACAGATACAATGTGAGCATAACAAAAGCCCTGCTGACACTGACCATCTGACCATCAGACCCACGCTGCAGCCAATCTCACAGTCTGGACTCAGGTCACAGATGCAGGACCTGCCACTCTGCTCGGACACTAAACTTTGTGTCCTTAAGAGAAAGAAAGAGGAAAAAAAAAAAACAGGCCAGTTTTGCTGATAAGACCTGGTTTAGGGGAGTGCAGAGACAGCTGACCCTATAAGTCCAACACCAAGCCTTGTTTACAGGGAGGAAGTAGGCCTCCAGTCAAATGGCTGACTACGTTTAAGGAATTCTTGACCCTGGGATGATGAGCTTCATGGAGGGAACTATTGACCTCTGAGATGAATAGTGAACTTTGTTTGGGGGAGGGGGGGGCTGGCTGGTTGGACTGTTGACATCCCTGACCAATGGTAACGTTTGTTTAGAGAACTTTTGACCTGCCAGAGTAAAGGAGCGCCACAGACGATGCCTTGGAGCAAAGTTAGTAGTACATTCAGGGGGACTAGTATAAATATTATGATACCCTTGTACAGGCTTTCTGATAATCTTATCTTATTCTTTGAATTGGGGTGTTAAACTCTCTATTCATCATTGACTGGTCAGTTGATTTAGCACTAATTACAAGCAGTTCTCATTTTCATTATTAGGAAAATATGCCAACAATAAATAAAAAATTTGATATCCTGCAGAAAACATGAGTTCAAACATAAATAGTCACGTATGTACATCTCTTTTCCCCTCTACATCTTTTCATGCACACACACAACATGCAAACTCACAAATGCACACATTTTATTCACACTTTTTCCATCCTTGGATTTCATTGCAGTGATGTTGCCTTGGTGACACTGATTCAGCCATTAGGCTTATCCCCCTCTTTGTTGAAGGCTGTTACGGTAAGTCTGATCTGCCAGTCTTCTGACTTCTGTCAGCCTGTGCACCACTTCACCATAACAATTCTCATACGACCTGTCTCATATATTTGACCATATACAGCAAGGATACTATGTGTTTAATATATTCAGAGGAAGTGGTGCAGCTGTCAAGGACTGAATAATCCTCTTTCCTCTAACTACAGTATATGTAGTCATAATCAGTAGAGGACTGAAATGGACAGAGATCTGCTGTTACCTAAATGTTAAGGTACCAGATTTGAATTTTGCAGTACACTCAGGGATGGAAGAAACTGCTCTAGATTTAATGATGTTATACATAATATAAGTCTGAGATACCAGCCTTATAATGATTTTAAAAGTGCTTCATGGATCATTAGACAATTGCAATCTAGAATTTAAATGCTAGGATTTTTCATGCTAATACCACAGCTTTATGTATATATGTTTGAGTATATATTGTGCAGTTGAGCACAGACTAAACTGAGGACTGATAAGCAAACCACCATTATCCTGCTGTCAACACCATAAAGGTCATGGAATAAACATCTAAATCCCAAAGAAAAACTGTTTATTAGAAACAGTTGTCACCATAACAATAACACCAGTGAGCGTATGAGGAGCTGGTTTGTTTCAGATTATTATGGTTAGCGTGCTGTGTTGCTGTGCATTGTCAGTATTAAGCAGAGCAAATGTATCTGGAGCATTGATTCTCTGATGAGTTATACAGTCGCTCTGGAAGAAGAAGAAAAAAATTACACAGCAAGCTGTCAGTGATTTGAGAAAGCTTTCTTTATTGTGACAGATCATCATGCCCCAGAGGTTGACAGATGTCCCTGCATTGCATGGCAACGATAGCAGTTTCTTTTTATTTGGACTTTGTTTGGTTTAAGAATGTAAAATGCAGCTCACTCTCCCTCCACTGCCACTTTCCGATTTATTTCATCAGTATTTTATAGGCTTTGTGTTCAGCAGAGGATCCCAACTCTGAAATTGCCTTTTATTGCAACTTACTTAGCCTGTTAATATAGGCTATTACAGAGCCAACATGTTTCTATGGCAACAAAACTGATAAAGTGTACCAGGAGACTAGAGTGATAGATTACACGTGCACGCTGTGTCACATCCAATTAACTCAAACTGACTGTACACCACATTATGCCACGACTTGCAGGAAAATCAATAAATATGGACGGTACCCAACAAGGTTCCCCCTCTGTTTCTTTCTTTCATCCCTTACGATGCCAGCGAAGCCAAGACAGATCATGCCACTAGGATGTCCCTGCTGCTACAAGAGGCAGGTGCTGTGTAGACACCATTCAAAACTTGGCCTATTCAATCCAACTCCTCTAACGCTCCATTCATGCATAGCAAAACACCATCTGCTCCTGTTTTGCCCGGAGCAATCACAGCTGACCAAAAAAAAAAAAAAAGAAAGAAATCCATGATAACAGCTGTTGCCAAACAAAAGCCAAACAAAAGGGAGTAGGAAAAGGTTAGAGACAAGTTCGACACCAAAAATTACTCATTGGAGAGGGCGAAGGAAAACATTTACTCTTGGTAATAGTAAAGGAAATGGGATGCCATCCAGCAGAGAGACGGGGAAAGGGTTAAACATGAGCCACTCGGTCTGTGGGCCTGGCAGACTTGAAACAGTCCAGGATCAGGTGATAATAGATTCAAGCTGAGGATGATTCTTTTACACAGTCAGTTCTCAGGGAGCAGGAGCACAGGCAAATGAGCCGTAGAGTCCTCACAGTGTATGGCTGCTGTCTGAAGCACATGCAGGTACTATACACACAGGCCGTCCAGGAACAGGAGTTTTATACAGGTATTATTCTTTATACTGCACGTACCTGTTGGCATTAACTGCCTATTATGTTAGGTGACAGTAACTAATGATTATTCTCACTTTTGATTAATCTGAGGATTTATTTCTTCATTGATTGTTTGGTCCTACAGCTGTAGAAAATGCCCAGAGCCAAATTGAATTATTTAAATTGCATGTTTTTCCCAAAACATTTTCAGTTTCCCACAGGCGTAAAAGTACTACATTTTTCTTATAGTATATTTGTTCATACCATAATATAGAAATACTCCAACATTAAGTACAAAGTATTATCAGCAAAGTGTACTCTGAAAGTAAAGGTAATCTTTGTGCAGGTTCATTGTTTTATTATCGGTGTATTAACATATACACAGCATTTTACTGTAAGAATTGTAAGAATAAATAAAGCACCATCTTTTATGACCTGATCATAGGTTTCGCATGTAGAAGTAGCTGTGAAATAAATTAGTAAGCAATATACTTTAAAATGTAAATACTCAAGTTAAGAATGCACTGTGCTTAAGTAAGTGTATTTTCCACCGCTGGTTTCATGT